GTGCCCAAAGACCATGTCATTAAACGGCTGCAAAGTAATAAAAATACGATGAGAATCTTTGACTTTTGACAGTTCTTGTATTCGCGAATGTCACTCGCGCGCAGGATTGAATCTACTACCATTAAAAGCTTAAAAACAGCTAAAACAAAGTTAAAATTTGTAACTTACCTTTTGAATATAATACCCACGAAGATTATTTTCCAGTTGATATCACTTACAAGAACAAAAAGACTGTATTATAGATAAAGACACGCTTCAAAGAACGCATTGAATACAGAGACACACGCCATATTGTCACGCTTGGTGCCCACTTTTTTTGTGAGACTATCCCAGAATGCATTGCGCGCGAATTACCTTCCGGAACTCTTGATGCACGTATAATGAACATGCCTTGTTTGTCAAGAGCTGCTTACTACAAGCAAGTTGATGTAATTTTGGAAGCACTGGAAAGTGAAGCAAAAGAAGAACTAAAAGGTGCAGGCCAAAGGCTCCGAAAGCTAATCATGGAGGAAAATGGCATCTCAGACAGCACCACAATAATTGATGCTGCTGTTAGCTTTGATGGCACTTGGGCCAAAAGAGGTTTCACATCACTAACAGGTGTTGTTTTCGTCATCTCAATTGACACAGGAGAAGTTTTAGACTATCACGTGATGTCTAAATCTTGCCGTAAGTGCTCCCTAAAGAACTCACAATGTGAAGGGAATGTGGAAGAGTTTGAAGAATGGAGGAGGGAGCATGTTGCATCTGGAGATTGTGACATCAACTTCGAAGGAAGTTCACCTGCTATGGAAGCAGAAGGAGCTTCTGTTCTTTGGAATAGATCCATCGAACTTCATAACATGAGGTACAAATGGATGGTGTCAGACGGGGACAGTAAGGCCTTTAACACTGTTCAACATGCCTATGATGACTGTGAAGTTATTAAACTGGATTGTGTAGGCCATGTGCAGAAAAGGATGGGCAAACATTTAATGAATTTGAAGGCATGCAGTAAGGGTAAACTTGCTGATGGAAAACCTATAGGAGGGCGTGGCCGGCTTACAGAAGGAAAGATCAAGCAGCTTCAAAGGTACTATGGCCTAGCAATCCGGCAAAACACCTTGACCAAGGCAAATCCCTCTGAACGGGAGGTTGACATTGCAGTTTATGCTATGAAAAAAAATATTATTGCCATTCTCCATCACTGTGTAAATTCAACTGACAATGCTAAACAACACCGCTTCTGTCCACCAGGTGATTCATCATGGTGCAAATGGCAACAGGACCAGGCAACAGGAACCAGTACCTACAAAGGAGATGACTGTTTGCCCGAAGTCTTCGTGGAGACTCTAAAACCCACATTTGTGTCATTAAGTGACAGTAAACTTTTAGAAAGATGTGTACGAGGAAAAACCCAGAACCCAAATGAAAGCATCAACGCAATGGTTTGGGTCCGGTGTCCCAAACATAAACACCATGGAGTGAAAGTTGTCCGGTGTGCTGCTGCGTCTGCAGTCTGCCACTTCCACAGAGGTGCAGAAAGCAGAGAAAGATTGATGGAAAGGCTTTCAATTCCTGGAGGTGCATTTACTGAGGATGCATTTCGACTAAGAGATAATTCAAGGCTTCGGAAAGCTGATAAGCAGGCAACGGCCAAGGAGAAGAAGCGCCGGCAGGGATTGCAGCTTATCCGTACTCAAAGAGAAGCGGCTCTTCGTGAAAAAGAAGATGTTTCATATGAAGCTGGGGCATTCTAACTCTTGCTCTTGCCTATCCTAATTATATTTGAACTTATGGCTACTCATTGACTTCATAATTTGAATACAGGAGGTGTTTAATTTTAAAATCTTGTAACTTTAGGCCTTTTTTTCTCAAAACGTATTTTTTAATACTTGAGAAAAGATTACTCAAGAAGTATGAGAGCTATGGACCTGAAATTTTTAGGGATTGCTGATCTAATTGAGTTATTTGGGATGAGTGAAGGAAAATGCCATAGAGGTCTTTCTAAAGAAATGATTAAACAAATAGTGATCATGTGTTAGATGTGTAACTTGACACCAGTGCTGTGATGTCAAATTTAAAAAATTCTTGAAATCCTTCACTCATCCCAACAAGTATTCAATATTCTTTAGAATAACAGCAAAATATTGGTATTTCATTGAAACAGTTTCTAACAATCTTTACTCAAGTACATATAGGTGAGACACTACAAGTTGTTAATTGAAATGACCGGTGTCAGGTTACATTTGCTGCAGGTGTGACATAACACCTTTTTTTGAAAAATATAGTTCATAAGCTTTCCAGTGATATATAGTTTTAGATAGTTGTGACCAAAACTTAAATTCCTACAATTATTTGAAAAAATGCACTTTTTTTAGGTAGAATCCCCCCTTAAGAGTTGTTATTGTGGGTTCATTTTTGTTCTGTATTACCTTATATTATTCAGTTTTACACATAATTTTTAGAAAGGGAAGAAAACACACTTGGCTATCATTGCAGCACAAACTTTTGTATTGCAATAATGTAAAATCAAGAAACTTATTTTCGTTTTCACCATATTCACCTCAAAATTTAAAACATTTCACGTTGGTTGGAATACTTCACTACTAAAATTTACACCCACAAAACATGACTCCATTTTTTAACATTACCAATGAGTATTTCTTTTCATTGGTTGCTCGTTGGCACTTAGCGATAGCTATATCTAGTTATACAAGTAATTTAACATACTTAGAAAGGAGCTCTTAACTGGACATATTTGGTATGATACAATATCTTCTAGCCCACAAAAGTTACTTAGGGCAATATATTTGGCAAATTGCATTGTATGAAATGTCGAATATGAGGTGGTACATTGAGGCAGTATACACTAAGTATACGGAACGATATACTGATTTAATGGTTTATATGGTTATGGATATACTTGACATACATGTCCTTATCCTTGTGTGTAAGTATAGGAAATCGTATGAACGCGAGTGCATTTCGTGATTTATGGGCACGAGTGATGTTTTGAAAGTTCTCAAAATTGCACGAGCCGTAGGCGAATGCAATTTGAGAACTTTCAAAACATCACGAGTGACCATAAATCACGAAATGCACGAGCAGGTTCATACGATTTTTTATTTATTATATTCTCGATTCTATCACATGACCGGAGGCATGGAGAGCCCATGAGATAGCACAGCGCATGCGTCAAGTCATTGCACACGTGCGTTGCATCAAGCAAGTCAATTTCTAAAGAATAAGAAGAAAACAACTGGAACAAGCTGAATCTAACGTAGTTAGATCACTTGAACCTTTAAGAACCAACGTAGTTGGTCTTACATCACAAATACGTAGCTCTAACGAGGTTAGAACTCGAAACATGACAGAACTTGAAGGAGCATCTCGCGACGTCCCCAACGAGTCCGGCGAGTCGCCAACGATGAACACTTTGGCCAGCATGGTCCAGTCGGTAGTCCAAGAAATGAAAGCAATGAACCAACGAATAGATCAGCTGAACGAGCCCGTTAACCCCGAAGACGAGGACCTCGACTACGAAGAGGGCAAAATGGAGCACGGAGATGCTGACAGAGAATCAATTGTTTCTCTCGATACAAAGGTCAGCGAATTGACCAAAGCCAGCGAGGCGGGAAACAACAAATCAAAGAGCCCTAGCGCTCTTCATGATGTAGCTCAGGATCTCGATCTGAGTGAGGAAACTGGGAGAGCTGTGGATGAGGAACTGGCTAACATTGTGAATAGTCTCCTCAGAGACAAAATTCCAGACGAAAAGACCCACGCAAAGGTGGATCAATATCCTAAGCCTGCGAACATCGAGGGGCTTCGAACGCCACGAGTAAATCCACTCATTTGGAGTCAGCTCCCAGCACAAGTCCGCACACAGGACTCGAAACATCAAAAGTCACAAAATTCACTTGTGGCAGCCGTTGTCGCTATTACCAAAGCGACGGATATTGTTCTGAAACAAAACCAATCAGACAACAAAGAGCTCTTGACCACTCTCACCGACGGCATTGCTTTGGCAATGAATTGCCTGCATGATATGAATAGCACTAGACGCCAGTCGATGAAGAAAGATCTGCACAGGGACTATGCCGCTTTATGCAATGCCACAACAGTCCCATCATCGTCCGAATTCTTACTTGGCGATTTGTCTAAGCTGACAAAAGATATCTCGGACGCCAATAAGTTAACGAAGAAAGTAAGACACGTGGCCGGAAATCTACATTTACAAACCATTACTCCGCAAACCGAAACCGACGCTTTGCTCCCTACGCTTACTTAAGAGCTCGCTACAACGATAATAATAATTTTTTATCGAAAAGCCGCTCTCCGCCGATGAAAGGGAAAAAGGAGTGCATAACCAAGTAACCAATGAACCACAAAGTAACAAGCCATTGAATCAGGTAAGCCTAAACGTTTGTTGCTCGGGTAATTCTGCTTATGACGAGGTCAAGCGACTAATTGAAAACCAAACAGTCTTTAGGGCAGGACAACTTACATCAGCTGTGCACAGCTGGTGCGAAATCACGAATGACCCTACGATCATTCAATTTGTGAAAGGTGTATTTCTCGAATTTACACAGAATTGTGAGCCTACACAAATTTCTGCAAGACCGAGTATATTTAACTTGAAAGAACAACTAATTGTGCATGAAGAAATAAATAAACTTCTCCAAAAAGGAGTTATCAAAGAGTCGCACAATGAACATGGGGAGTTTATATCCCCTATTTTCTTAACCCTTTCACCACCGGTGGCCTCTTTAGAGGCCACTGACAAAAAGGTACTGCAACACTCGTGGCCCCTTTAGCGGCCAAATAAATTTACATACATTACCGCTCTGTAACCAGGCTTTTTTTAGCAATTGGGGGGCCCAGATATTGCCATTTTCCTGGGGAAGGTTTGAGTAATGCAATCGTGTTTTTATCACCACGCGGTTTCATACAAAGTTTTCGAGATATTTTGTTTTGAAAGTTCAACGAGATAAAAATTCGAACTTCGCCATTTTTAAATGTCTTCGGGTGACGAGAGCGACAATTCTGGATCAGATTTATCATCTTCAAGCGAATATTCTTTCCAAGATGACGATGTCCTTGAAGAGCTGTTCGATAGCGATGAAGAGGAAGAGGATTTCGCTGGTTTTAATTTCGATTTGCCCGAAAACATGAAGTGGGAGAACCAGCGCTTCGATGTAGACATGCAACCGTTCACGTTAACACCTGGTCCGACAATAAACTTACCTGATACTGGTAAGGCTTTTGACTTTTTCTCGTTGTTTTTCACCGAGGAAATCAAATCGGTAAAATTGTGGAATTTACAAACAAGAATGCTCAGAAGAAAGAAGTACCAAATTGGCAACCTGTCACATCCGAAGAGTTAAAGGCATTTATTGCAATGTTGATCATTTTGAATGACATTATTGTTGTCCCACGCGACGAACGCTACTTCCTGTCATCTGCAGAAGCAAGGCTATTTCACATTCCAGGAGTGAAAAACATTTTGCGATCTCGAAAACGTTTCTTCCAGTTAAAATCGTACATATTCTTCTGCGACCCAGACCACGAACAAACAGAAGAAGAAAAGCAAGACCCCTTATATAAAGTGAGAGGTATTTATCATGATATTGTTCAGAAATTCAAGGAAATTTTTAACTGCTCCCGTGAAATCTCCATTGATGAAGCTATGGTTCCTTTCAAAGGGAGGTTAGCCATAAAGGTGAGAATGCCAGATAAGCCAATCAAATTTGGAGTGAAATTCTTTCAACTCTGTGATTCCAAGACTGGCTATTGCAAGAATTTCTCTATCTATGCTGGGAAGGACGACAGAGAGGCTGGTAACATCGGAAAGACCGGTAAGATTGTCATGGATTTGGTTGCAGATTTGCACAATACAAACCATCACCTTTATGTTGACAATTTTTACACCAGCCCAATTCTTTTCCTTTTGTTGAGGACAAGGGGAATTCTTGCTGCTGGGACAGCAAGACCTCACAAGGGCTACCCGCATGAACAATTGAAAAGAGCTGTTCTCAGGAAACGAGGAGAAGTGGCATGGCTTACTGCAAAGGAACAAGGAATGACAGCTTTGAGGTGGAAAGACAAAAAAGATGTCTATTTTCTAACTACAATACATTCCCCACCAGTGGTACCAGATTGGGTCGAAGATGACAACTCTGGGGCTGAATCAGAAGAAGTCAGAAATGAAAGTGACGTGGTGTGTAGAAGGGTCAAGCAACGAGGACGCTGGGTTACCAAGAAGATTTACAGGCCAGGAATTGTCAAGTCCTAA